CCAATAGATTGTGCCATTAAAATCGCCCATGAATAATTTCTTATTTTGGTTTTCTCATCTCTTATATAAAGAAGGTGTCTCTCCTCCTTATCTCATACCAAATCTTGAAGGTTTTCTATTTCTTTAGAATTTATCTTTCTTTTCTCTCTCTCTCTCTCTAAAAAAAATTCTCATACTTAAGTTGCTTGTCTTTTAGTAAAAATCTACTTGTGAGGAAATTGTATTGGTTCATGCTATTTTTATTACTCTTAACAATGTGATATTCTCGAGAAATCGAGTTTGGATCTTGAGATTAACCAGCCATAAAATCTCTGTTTGGTTCTAGAACTTAGTCAAGAAAAGTTTTGTTTAATTGTTGAGATTATCCTGAAAAATATTTAATCAGTTTGTTAGCTCAGCCTGGGTAAAATATTTCATTGGTTGGGGATAAGATATTGTAAAATATCTGGATTCAATTGTATTGAAGGTTCTTTTTTATTTTCCATAACCCATTTTACTCTAATATTAAAAAATACTAACACAATTCATTTTTTAAGTAACAAAAACTTAAAATTAATTTCAAATTTTGAATACCATAATTCAATCCCCCCTCTTGTGCTTGAATCATTTGTCCAACAATACACACACTTTCCCTGCACCTTAGTTGAATTCGAGACAACTTCCACAAAGGGGACAAAATCAGGATGTTCAAACCAGCAAATGAAGACCTTAAATGGTTTAGGACCCAAATTTGTACAATTAGCTTTGATCAAAATTATACAATGATCTGAGAATTATTTTCATCCCACATAATTCCCTTTAATCAAGAACTTCTCAATAAGATATTATGATAAAAGAAACCTATCTAATATGCTCATTACACTCCCTTATTTATTAAACCACATAAACTTGCTTCCAATTGCAGGGATATCTACTAGTTTCATGCTACCTATGAATTCTATGAATTCAAGTATTTCAATTCTATTGACTTAAGTATCGATGCCTTTCCTCTCCCTTGTTGTCTTGATCACATTAAAATCGTCTACTAAAAACTATTCTACACATGGATATTTTCTTCTTTTTTCTCTCTCAAGTCATTCAACAACTACCTCTTTCTTTGAATACAAAAGAATGAGTAAATGCTTACAATGAAATAATAGATTCTATTCCACACCACACTACTACGAAAAACATATACGACAATGGTTGGAAAAGGGATAACATCACGTGTGACATGTCGTTGTTACGTAGGGTGTGGTTGTATATGCTCAACTTACAATCACGGTCTTACGACCGTTGTAGAAAAAATGAATATGCGCTATATATGATGACATTTTCTTTTACTAACCGTGGTGGTATATACTTTAGGCAAATAACATTTTATAACGGTTATTATAAATAACCGTTGTTAAAAGTACCCATGCATGATTTACTATATAATATGTAGATTTCTTGTTTTTCAATAAACCTAATAACAACATACAACCATTCAAATTGATGAAGAAGTATATAATATGAAAATTAAACTATTCTTGAAAGCCAACTTAAACAAGCCACTATTTTTCGAATTGCATCCGTCTCATCGTTCATCTCACGCGCTTTAGCATATAGAATGTGGTTCAATGGTCTAAGTCTTTCATTACATCAATTCCTTATATTCTAGTTTAATTTGAATAATATCAATAAATTGTTGTTATTCAAATTAAACTATAAGAGAAGATATAAATGTGTTGAAGGACTCAGATCATTGACCCACATTCTATCAGTTAAACAAACTGAGATGAATGATGAGACATATGCAATTCGGAAAATATTGATTGATATAAGTTAGATTTCAAATACAACTAAATTTTCAGATTATAAGTTTTTATGTCAATTTAAATGAAATGTATTTTCAGTGAAGAGTTAGTGAAACAAACAATCTACATAGTATATAATAAACTCAACTTCATACAACAACACAATATATTATGTAATGTTTTGAGAATTTTATAAAGAATAAAACATTGCTAAGTCACAACAAGCTTCTTTCTTGTGAGTTAGCAATGTTTTGATCTTTAAATTCTTAAAACATTAATCAACAACAACAACATTTATCAACAACACAACAACATATAACAAAATAAGGTTCCAAGACAATAATAACAACTTACAACAACAACATACAACAACATAAGATATTATATTATATTTAAAGAACTCACATTTTTTTAAACTAATTGTGGATTTGGAACAAATTATGATTTTTCATCTAATTTATGAAGCTATGAAGAAGAAGTACAAGGTGAATGAAGTTAACGCAATAACTTTATACTTCTTGTATTTTTCTTCATAGCTACACAAACCATGTGTATTATGGCCAAAGTATACGCTTTGTTAAGGTGGTGAAGACGAATCTGAAAAAAAAAAAGAGAATATTCACCAAATAAAAAATAAGAATCCATTTTTAATAAGAAATATAAATGAAATAGAAACATAAGTTTAATAAATGAACCTGAAATATGATTAAAGAGTATCATAATGATTGGTGAAGAAGAATATGAAGGTTTAAGATAGTTTAAAGAGTGACATGGATGTTAGGATTATGTTATGAGAGAGAAGAGTGAAATATGTTATGGTTTTAATTTGAGAGAAATAATTGTTATGTACTGAACGATATATATTTTCGCTTATATATTAAAAATTATCACATTTCATCACGGTTAGAAAGAAAAATCGTGATATAATACATCACTTTTACAACAATTCTTTAGTAAAACCATGGTTAAATCTCTCACAATTTTATTTATTTATGAACCTAATAGTTAGAGAGGTATTGATTATTGTTATTGTTATTTTTCATTACTGTTGCGATTGTTGTTTTTATTTTTGTGGGCTTGTACTATTTTTTTTGTAAAACAATAATAGATAGTGTATAAATGAAAGAGTATATATAACAGGGTCAAGAGGGCGGAGCACATAAATTATTTCATTACATAATTTTGTCAATGTCAGAACAATAACCCATAGCAGCAAATGAATCTTCATAATCTATGACTCTCTCCTCATTACCCTCATCAGAATCATAGTAACAATTTTTCCTGGACACCTTTTTCTTCTTCTTCAACTTCTTCTTCTTGGCCTTCCTAACCTAAGTGTATCCTTGACAGCAGTCAATCCAGATGGCTGGACCTCCTCAGTTGACTGTTGATCATGGTGTTGTACTATGTTGAATTCAGTTGAGATATTTCTGTTAGCATTTTTAGATGGAGAACTTGTGTTGCTATATGTAATTAAGAAGAATAGTTTTGAAGAAATGGAAATTCATTATATAAAATTGTGCCTTTATAGAGGAGATTGAAGATGAAAGATCTGATGATTTAATGCTTGAAATGATTACTTCCAATGGTTGATATTCTTGAATGACATTGTGACCGTCTTGAAAACTGAAGAAAATTTTTAATCATCATTATAGTTGGAAATAACATTTCTCTCTTTAGGGAAGTGTAAAGGTTGTAAAGATTATATTACAACAATTGCATATTAAAGTTGTGGTCAAATAATCTTCAATTATTTATTTATTTATGAATTTAAGTGACACACGCTTTTTTAATAGGAAAAATAGAAAAAGTGTAGATGTTAGGATTCACACCATGTAACACTCAATCTATCACCACGATTATGTCTATCAACCGTGATAAAATGACTTTCAAAAAAATAAATGAGTATTAGGCACATCTAATTTCATATGTTACAACAGTGAAAATAATGATTGTGATAATATTATGTTATCAAATGTGTATTTTGTAGTAATGCCAAGTTAATCCCCACAAATCCTTCCCTAACAAAACTAAAGTTAACCTTAAAAGTTCCAGCTTTCCACAATATAATCTGACCTCCAAACCTTTCTTGTGCCCACTTAATTAAAATTAGTTGTTAAATGCATTTTCTCTTAATAAAATTGTCACACCCACATATGTTATAAGATATTATATTCACTATACACCCTTAGATTTGACTTCCCTCAACCTTCACCCTTCTTGATCTCTCTTCTTTATACCTCTGATTGATTTTAAATGAATTAATTTTGATTAAAAATAAGTTAAATATAAACTGATTTATATTTAAATAAATTTACGTAAAAGTGAGTTGAACTTGAATAATAAATTACAATGTAAAAATATGTTTAAATTTAAAAAACATACAAATTCTTTCTTCAAATATAATCAATTATAGAGGTAATTAATTCTATTTTAAAAAATAAAAAAATAAAAAATAATTCTAAAATTAATTATATACCTCTAAAATCATTTTTAAGTCTTTCAAAAACTAAACAACAAATACACTTAATCCACTAAATCTAATAAAGCTCAATAGATGGGCTATATTATCTTGATAATCAATTGGCTATATGTGGGGTAATAGTAGCTAGCTGTTTTAGCTTCAATATCAAGCACAATACAAATAGTATTTCTCTTTCTAATAAGTTAATAATATTAATCAACATACAGCAAATGGGGGCTATTTTCAACTTTTGAATAGTCAATCTTGGCATATATTCTCTTAATCACAACAGCCAAAAAATACAATCATTAAAGCCAAACTTAATTTCACTAGAACCTACTTATGCTTCCCAAATTACTAAAGTAAAAAAATCCTGTTAACTTTCATCCTTAATCAATATTTTTATAAATCAACAATGATTAAGTTAATATTCATTCGTATCTTAAGTGATTAATTTTAAATATCAAAATAATGTATACCACATGACATTTCTCCGCCATAACAAATTTTCTTTCAAGTTGTTAAAAAAAATAATAAAAGTCGTTAACTTTCATCCTTATCAACCAGTCAATTCAATCCACATTTTTCCAAACATTATTAGAATTTTCAAATGCCATGCATGCAATAATAGTTTCTCAACTTTTGAGGATTAGGTGAAGGTGATAGTAGCCATCTTTTATCTCTATATAACATCACACACTTTCTTAGACTAAAACCATCCTCTTCTAAACCCTAAAGCCTTACTACTACTTAGCAAAATGACATTTTCTTCTTCTTCATCATCTTCTAGGGTTTCGATAAACTTTATTTGTTTTGTTTTGTTGATGTTTTTTCTTATAGGAAATTCTTCAGCTCAACTCTCTGAAAATTTCTATGCTAAGAAGTGTCCTAATGTTTTCAATGTTGTAAAGTCTGTTGTTCACTCTGTTGTGGCTAATGAACCTCGCATGGGAGGATCTCTACTTCGACTCTTCTTTCATGACTGCTTTGTTAATGTAAATCACTCTTCAAAACTATGTCCTTTCTTTATCTATGATTAAGAGTTAATATTATTTAGCAACTAATTGATCATATCATTGTCAACAAAATTGTTTTGATTATTATTTTTTTTAAAGTTAACCTTATTTACATAAGTTTAAAATTAAATATCATGTATATATGTATTTTAAAAATAATTATTAAACATTTTAAAAAATAAAACTGAATAATACTTCGGTGTAAGTGTTACTTTTAGCGTAAGAATAACATTCCTAAAAAGGATTGTACCCTCTTTTCTTGTTGTTATTCTACTTGACTATTTATATATAATTTTGATTCTGTTTCTATCTCTTTCAAGAGTTTTATTGAGTGACGTTACAATATCAATTATGAACATTTAAAGTATAATTAAAAAATAACATTATTCTAAAGTCTCCATGATTATGCACCACTGACTTTTAGAATCACCCCTAGATATGACACAATTCATAAAGTTAACAATTTAAATTTATATTTTTTTGCACCATGTAATAAGCATATTCCAAAACAAAAAGATAAAAGATAAATATTCCAAAAAGCCATTTTTTGAGGCTTAATGTTTAAACTTGTTTATTCTGTGTGAATATGCTAAGAAATAATTTATATTCAACTTTGATATATATTCTTTTTTTTACAGGGTTGTGATGGATCAGTGCTACTTGATGATACATCCTCCATGAAAGGAGAGAAAACTGCACCTCCCAACAAAGATTCTTTGAGAGGTTTTGAAGTAATTGATGCCATTAAATCTAAGGTGGAAGCTGCATGCCCTGGTGTTGTTTCATGTGCTGATATTGTAGCCATTACTGCACGTGACTCTGTTGTAAATGTGAGTACAAAATTAATAGGTTTTTTAAAATTAGTAAAATTAAATACAAAATATACTATTTGAAAAAGTTGAATAATAAAAAAAACTAGAATTGTTAAAAATAAAACTAATATATAGTTTGGGTTGTGATCTAAATTTCAAAATAAAATTAGAAAGATATACCCATACATTTCTTGACATGACAACATAACTCGTATCCTTAAGGACACGTATTCGAACTCGTTTCATGTTTGATAGAGAAAATCAATTTTGACTGTATTTTGATTTTTTTCTATTATAAAATAGGGTAATGTTAACTTGTGTCCTAAGGACACATGTTAAGAAATTCATAAATAGAAAATTTGTATTGGAAAAAGTAATAAAAGAATTAATTATAAATTTTTAATAAAAATAATACACAAGTTCCAAGAAAACATTTCTACATTTAGTTCTTAACATGTGCCCCTAGGGCACAAGTTAACATTATCCTATAAAATATATGATAGAATTAAATAATTGAAACATTAAGATCCATTCTATCGTGTTTCTAAACTTTTCTTGTTTATTTTATTATGTATTTTATATTTAATTTTAATAATTTATAATTTCAAACATACAATGATATTTTAATTAATATTTTATTATTTGAAATCATTAAAATATATGTATGAAATTTTTCAAAATTATTTTATCTTATTATTTATAATATAACTTGATTTAAAAAAAATAAAATATTTTTATTAAGTTTGATTCTACAACATGGATGATCGATAATTATAGATAATCCAATTGTATTTTTAAATATAAATTTATTTATTTATTTTTCCATTAATTATGCAGCTTGGAGGACCTTATTGGAAGGTTAAACTTGGAAGAAGAGATTCAAAAACAGCCAGCTTCAACGATGCAAGCAGTGGTGTTATTCCACCCCCCTTTTCAACTCTTACCAACCTTATCAATAGGTTTAAAGCTCAAGGACTCTCTACTAAGGACATGGTAGCCTTATCTGGTACATGTCTTACTCTTATTATTTTTCTAATTTACACTTTTTTCTTCTATCTTCCATTATTATAACACAGTTTATTTCTAAAAGAAATGCTTGAGATGACACATTTCGGTGGACTTGAATGCGACGTTTAAACAACCACGTACACTGCATGTCATGCTAATTTTCGTTTTTGTTATGTGACTTTTCAAAATAAAAATAATATGAAAAGAATAGTGAAATGAAAAAAAGTGTTTATCTAACCTAGAAAATAACTGTACATGATATTATTGGTTGATTATTGTTAATGCTCTCGAATCAGATAATATATGATCTGTTTGTAAATGAAAGTAGTTTTTATCATATAAATTGATTTTGTATGATTGAGTTAGGCAAAACCATATTCTTTACTATGATATTAAAATATAGGTTTATGATTGCATGAACTATCTGCTATCAAGTTTTTATTATTAGATAATTCATCGTTTATTTTCATGCTCTAAATATTTAGTCATGTTCTTGTATGAGAGTGTTTATTCCTCTGTATGAGAAAGTGTTAAGAGTCTCACATCATATAATATATGACTAAAATATTTATAATTTATGAAGTACAGACACTTCAAATATGACACTGACATTGATATGACGATATCAGTAATAAATTGAAAAAATAAATAAATTAAATATAATCATAAGTATTGATATAGATGTCCGATACAGACAAAAATACATATACGTACATGTTTTTTTAGAGATGTCTGTGTTACATAATTTATAAGTGCGAGTAATTCTCACCTTAATCTGAGTTTGGCCTAATTCATTCTATAAAATCGATTTGTAAAATGCGAGAGGTGACTGTATAATATATTTAAGTTTTGCAAGCTCTTTGAAAAAGTGTAATGATGATTTTTTATTTTTTTTTTTGGTTTTCAGGAGCTCACACTATTGGTAAGGCAAGGTGTGTTGTTTATAGAGATCACATATACAATGACACAGACATTGATAGTTTATTTGCAAAATCAAGGCAAAGAAACTGTCCAAGGAAAAGTGGTTCAATAAAGGACAACAATGTAGCATTTCTAGATTACAAAACTCCAAACCATTTTGACAATGTCTACTACAACAATCTCATCAACAAAAAGGGTCTCCTTCATTCTGATCAAGTGCTTTTCAATGGAGGTTCTACTGATTCATTGGTTAAAACTTATAGTAATAATCCAAAAGCCTTTGAAGCAGATTTTGTTACTGCTATAATTAAGATGGGAAATATTAAGCCTCTTACTGGATCAAAAGGGGAGATTAGGAAACAATGCAGAAGAGCTAATTGAGCAAGATCTATCAAAGTTTGTGAGTGTCGCATCATTGTCGTCTTGGTGTCGGTGTCGGTGTCGGTGTCGGTGTCGTGATTTCGATGAAATCAAATCAATTGTGTGTTTTAAAGTACATATATATTATGTACCCCAAAAGTGGTGGTATACTAGTGTATTGCAATTTGCAAAGTTATTTTTTTGTTGTTAAGTTTAATTTTATATTTTGTTCAAGTTAGTGTAAGTTAAATTTCTAAGGAATGCTGTGACAAAAAATGTCACATTAAGGATGTGTGTGTTGTAGTAATCACATTAAATTGAATACGTATTTGTTGCTTAAGTTTTTTTTATAACTTAAATAATGTTTTTTATTTCGTGTAAAAACCATTTATAATTCAATAATTCTTCGGTTCTATTTTTTATTTTATGATTGTATATAACAAAAGTTTGGGAATCCAAATCAAACCCACCAAGCAATATCAAGTCTTTGGGCTTTACCTACTAAATTGAGATCAAAATCCATAACTGTTTTTTGTAACAATAAAAGGAGGCTTCTTCATGCCACTTCCAAATTTTATCTAACACCCCTAATATATTAATTATATTCATGATGTTTTTGTCAAAATTTTATTAAAATGTCCGAACAAAAAACTCGGTAGAACAAATAAATTTTTTGATAAGAATTAAAAAATTCGATAGTGTATTCCAAAAGTTTGATATGTTTTTTTTATCGATTTTATATAAAACGAATTTAACTTATTGGATTTTTTGATAAATTCGATATCATTGATAATTTTATGAATTTTTGAAAATTTTGATAGTTTATTTTTGGTAAGAAATGTTTTTTTAGCACTATCGGATTTTTTGAAAAATCCGGTATGTACAGTAATTTCCAGCATATTTATCGATAAAATGTCAAATATTTTTCAGAAAATTATGGTTTTATACCGATACTTGAAAAATTCGGTGTAAAAAAATGATTTTATACCAGATTATTAAAAAATCTGGTATAAAATCATAGTTTTTTTTAGAAAAATATGATTTCACACGTGTTTTCAAAAAATTCGATAAAAACTCATACACGTTCTAAAAAATACAGTAACAACTTATTTAATTTCCCAAAAATCCGGTAAAACCTCAGAAAATTTTCAAAAATCCTATAACACGAAATTTTTCTAAAAATCGTAAAATTGACAAACGGTATTAAGGTAAAAATACTACTACTGTGGGGGTGTCAGATAAAATTTGGGGATGACAAGAAAAAACCTTCAATAAAAGTCAAATAAAAAAAGGCAAGTTAGATATTAAACTATAGCCCATGCTTTTCTAGAAATTGCTTATCACATCTTAATTTGTGGAAAAACACCTTAAGAAATTTCAAAAATGCCCTTCAAAATTCAAAAGTGCATTTTTGGACACACCTTTTTCACACCAAAACACGTCCTAAGTGAGTCTCACCTTATAATTTCTCCAAAATTTAGTCAGAAGATGCATATCTGGACCTACAACATATACGCACCCCATGCATTCTTAATAGAGAAACATTCATTTTGAGAAAAATTAATCCAGAGATGCATCTCTGTATTCACCAAAAACAATACGGAGATGCATTTCTGTATTCACACCAGACATTAAATTTTAACTTTATTTTAGAAATACACTAACGTGATTAACGATGTATTATAGTTTTGCTATCATATTAAATTTTTTATAAATTAAATCATACACTTATTAAATAATATGAAAATGTCATCTATAAATGAATAGATTTGGAATCCAAAATGAAGTCAAATAAATTACAAACGATAATAATGCTCCTAATATAAATACTATATACTGGGTATGCCGGACCTAGGCCCCTATATTCCTACACAACTACCTGTAATGTAGTTCTTTATGTGCCTCATTAAGCATGCCATCTATAATGTCCATAGCCTCAGAGCCTTCTGGAAAGACTCCTCTGTCTATACCCGCTTGCAAAATATTCATGACATATCGACATCTAGACAACACATCAACAATATGATCAACCTTAACATGCTTCTTCTCTAATACCTCTTGATGAACTGTCCTAGGTGGATCTCCCAGAGCCTCCAATGTCATATACAGATGTGACAAACTAAAATACCAGTAAATGCAATTGTATGCAACACTTTAGTCGTTGGGAGCTAGAGTATGTTATGCCTCATCCAGTACCAAATGATTAAGGAAATAATCATATATAGTATCTACATCTCGGTGTGCCAAAGCATGAAGAGTAGAATCAGAAGGGTCTCTAGGAATAAAATGCATGTAGTTGAATTTCTGCATGACGCACTTAGGCAGACGTGGATATATTAAACATGACCCGCAAGACAACCATATAGAGTAGAAGGTTATTTCGTCCAACGAACATGTCTGGTGGTGATTGGTGTATGCCTAGAAATGTATATCTTCTGCTACCAAGTGATTAAGATACACTCTAAAAGGCTTTGTCGTGTAATTCCCTCTTAGTGGGGAGAATGCAGAAGCACATGGCATATATCCTCACTGTTGGTCGGAACATATGACCAGTTGTATATGCATGGGAAGTGCTGGAGGATCCAAGCCTGAAAACGATACATATGAATTATTAGTAATGGTGTAGCCCAGTTCTTATGAAAATGATACACAAACACTAAATGATGCAAATATATTACAAATAACAATGTGCAGCTGTGTGTCATCTATTTGGTCTTCCACATGCAATCTTCAACTAACTTGAAGTACATGTAGATCAAACAAGCGACCCCCAGTTATATTCATGAATCCGCTAAAATTCAACAAAGTATCTCAAGTAAATCACATCTACATAATTGGTTTTATTTTATGCGATTGACTACATTATGCAAAAACAAGAATAGAGTTTTCAAGATGTTTTGGTGCTGAAATGATACATAAGTGCAACATCTGTCCCTTGTTTGCAAGACATGGTTGTTGCTATGTACGCGCGTTTTTGAACTGATTATAGTGCATTCTTCTTCTGATGTGTGCAATAAGAGTTGTTGCTATCTTTTAGCAATTTGATTATTTAATTAAATTAAATTTAAATCATGTTGATTTAAATTTGAATTTAAATGAAATCAAATATTTTTGTGGAGTTGTTTTGGAGAAACAAAAACTGACTGAATCTCCACCATATTTGAACAAGATCACTGCCTTAAATTTTTTTATAACTTAAATAATGTTTTTTATTTTGTGTAAAAACCATTTATAATTCAAAAATTCTACAGTTCTATTTTTTATTTTATGATTCTATATAACAAAAGTTTGGGAATTTAAAATCAAACCCATTATGCAATATCAAGTTTTTGGGTTTAATTTACCTACTAAATTGAGATCAAAATCCATTCTTTTTTTTTCTTTTTTTTTTGAATTGCTTATTCTCATCCTAAGTGGTGGAAAAAGAGCTTAATTTTTTTTTAAAATTCCCTTTATTAGAATCAGAAATGTGTTTTCGCACGCACTCTTTTTGCATCAAAACATGTTCTATGTGAGTCTCATTCTATATTTTTTCTAAAACTTAGTCCGGAGATGCATCTTCAGACCCACACTATATGTGTAACTCATGCATTCCTAATTGTACCACATTCATTTTGAGATAAATTGATTCGGAGATGAATCTCCATATTCATCTCAGACAAAATACAAAGATGTATTTCTGTATTCACACTAGACATTAAATTTTAAATTTGTTTTAGAGATACACTGATGTAACTGATGATGTATTATAGCTATATTATCTGTTTTGGTGAGAATAGGATATCAAATTATTAATTAATTTGAATCGCAAATCTTTAATTCACAACCAGTCTTTGATTTATCCGAATGAAAGGTCAAAGAAAGGAAAAACCTACTTTTTGCATTGTAAACAATGCGGGGAGAGATCTAGGTAAGGGGTTGGTTAAGCCTAGGGAAGGTATTATCACCCTAAACTTCTGTAGTACTCTACAAGAACCTCTTGTTTAAAGTTTACTATTTTGCTTGATTATCTGCTTTAGGGTATATGCTAAGGGTTAAAGGTGAAAGAGAGACCTAAGGGTTAGTTCTAAGTTTATTCGCCAAAATTCGCATCTTGTGCCTACGTATCCGAGGTAGGGGATGGAATTAGAGTAATCGTAGTTCCCCTCGAAAAGGAGGAATAGAAACTTCTTGACGGTGGTCAAGGTTTCAATGGGGAATAAGCATTCTTAAGGAAGCGCTTACATGGAGTGCGACGACTCTAATCTCTACGTTGTAAAGAGTTGAATTAAAAAGGGTAAAACTAGGTATTCCACGGTGGGAAACCTAAAACGGAGTGCGGCGACTCCTTAACCTAATGCTAGGGTAAAAGGTAATTCGGTCCGCGGCGGGGACGCCTATGCAATTAGGGTTTGAGCGGTGAAAAAATCAAAGGTAAAGGACTATTGACGCGGCGGTCAAACGACTAGACCTATTCCTTCGGAAGGAATTTAACAGTAAATAAAATAATGAAAATACGATTAAGCGACAATATGAAAATACGGGAAAGGTACAAAAACGGTAAAGGAATTGCACAGCGACGATATCCTCGCATAAATTACAACCCAAAGAAAATAAAAGGCGGAAAGTAAGGGAATTGCAAAGCGACAATATCCTCGTGTAAATTACAACCATAAAATGAAATATGAAAAATGAAGTATTATAACAGTACAACTGAGAAAGCAATGAATGGACCGACATAAAAATTATACGAGAATAACCGACAAAGTTCAATGTGAAATTGAAAGTGCAACGTTAGACGATTTTTTAGGAAAAGAATTTAAACTAAATGAGGAATTTACAAAAAAAGAGTTTAAATTTAAAATGTTAATTTTTAATTTTACCTAATTTTAATGGATTATAAAAATCTTATTTTTTCAAAAAATGTTTTTTCAATTGAGGAATGTTGAATTTTAAAGAAATGTTCTAATCAACTTTTAAAAAAAGGTTTCTAGTTAACTTTAAGAAAATATTTTTAAAAAAGGGTTTTAATTTTAACAAAG